TATTATTTTATAGGTCAGAAGAGGGGGTGGGGAAAGGAAAATATAGGCTAAAAACCAAAATTGCCTGTATACAATATTCACAGTAACTGAGACTTTCCCAAGTAGCCACTGGCTTGCTATCCCAGCTGTTTTTCAGAGCAGAAAAATAGGTAGCTTTAAAATGATCTTGTTTCATTCTAAAAGAACACACACAACGTACGTGAAACAGCAAGAATTATGCAAAAGGCGGGGGGAAGAGCCCATGACTTTGACAAAGATCATTATATCTGTTGCTTAGACAATCTGGCGGTGCATCACCTACATATTTTGGGTTTGTTTTTAAAAGGAAAAGCAGAAATATTCTTAAAGCTTTGAATGGTTGTGTGGTTTTATGATTTGTAAAACTGTTATTTGGGTAGCAAAGCCACCTCTAAAATACATATGCTGGGATTTTATTTTACACTCATCACATCCCATGGCGAATTTCTGACAACTGCGCTCTACAGCAGTGTTTCTCAAATTTGGCAACTTTAAACAACTCCCAGAATTCCCCAGCCAATGGTGGCTGGGGAATTCTGGGGATTGAAATCCACATGTCTTAAAGTTGCCAAGTTTGAGAAAGAGTACTCTACAAGTTCATTTCTCTCTTCAGTTTTGTTTCTCCTTCATCCCTGTAATACATCTGGGGATTTTGCAAGGCCGTATGGATTCAGTGCCACAAAGTAAGACTCTGCTTAGCTGTTCTTGGAACAATCCAACCTTGACATTCTTCTCCCAGCAACATTTTGCCGCATTATTTAGTATCATCTAGCAGGCTGTGACATCACCTTGTAAATGGCAAGGACAAAAATAAGTCTATATTCCAAGCTCATGGAAGGAAGCCTCATCAGTGTTTATTAACACATAATGATTATTTTTAAAATGTTTATATTTTATACTGTAGAAGCAATTTTAGATAGGCTAGCTGCTAGCACATATATTCACATCAGCCACTGATGGTTTTTGAATTTTCTGTTTTCAGGGAACATTTTCAGTACCAATTGACTTAAAGAATCCCTTTCTGCCTGAGACAGAACTACAGCATGTGATACACCAATATCCTAGAACCTGTTGCCAATTAGATAGGGTGATAGATCCCATAATCTATCAGAATATGGTTGATAGATTCTAGTGCTGACTAGAAATGATGGGGTCTCTGGTTCAATACATCTGGAGCACAGAAGTTGGGGAAGGCTATAAAATTATTTTGGAAGATACGTATTTCAGAAGATATTTCAGGGCAGGGCTTGTTAAAACACAAATCAGGATTTACCAATACATCATTGGGTGATCTCTTTTGGGAATAGTGATCATGTATCACTGGTATTGTAAATTCAGTAAATTCAGAACAATAATTAGTAGAATCCCATAGCAGAAGAAGTTGATGAAGATGGATTGGAGTTCTTAAAAAACAGGAGATACGAAAAGAACAATTACAAAAAATTGCAATGAGGAAAAAAAAAAGGGAGGACAGTAGAAGAAGCCAATGTGGCTACAAAAAACACTTATCTGAAAAGGACAACAACAAAGGACATGTACAGGAAATGGAAAGAGAGCCAAGTCACAAAGGAAAAGCACAGATAGATGGC